CAAGGAAGTTAATTATTCTGTCTTCAGATAACAGGTTAAGAGCTGGGACCACACTGAGTAAGAGCTGTATCTATACAGACAGGTCCGTAAGCAACTGAACTTGAGCTCCAGCCATCAAGTCCTTTCTCACCTGGCAGGTTAAGCCCATCGAGACAGCAGATGAGGAGCTAGAACTAACAATCACTTCCAGTCCACCCTGTTTCCACAGTAAACTTCTGGCAAGCTTTTTTGATGGCCTTTTTACAAGTCTAGTATTAGCAAATATAGACAAACTCTTGTAACATAACAAGCTTTTAGGAAACCTATCCCATTCTGGTGCTGCAACAGAATATGAGTTGAACTGAATATGAATTGTGCTGTTGCTGTATTTCTACACTCTCTCAGCTGGGTTCAGGGGACTCTAGCATTTACAAACAGCTTGATTCTTTCATAAAAAATCTGAATGAAAACACCTACATCATTTACTAACCCTCCTGAAACAGAATATAGTCCCATTAAAAGCACTATGTGAGGTGTTAGGACCCTATTCTCAAAAACTGGCAGAAAACTCAAGCACTGAATGCAGTGTTTTTTATGATTTTAAGTTTTTAATCAAAGACTTTTAAAGCTCTTTTTTTTTGAGATTTGCTGCTCACTGAACTCACTGCTAGTATGGAGTAACTGCTCCATAAGTTCACTATTAACAATCTTATGCATTGCTAGAGCATGTGATCATGTAATTATATGAAGTCAAAATACTGTTTTCGGAGGCATTGTTAATTCTGAAAGTTCCTGACTTACAAATTCTTGACACTGCAAACTTCTGATTCCATAGATGCAGTCCAGAACTAGGTAGCGAAATTTAAGCATTGTCTATGGATATCTAAATAGAAAGGTGAACCAACGTGTTTACATATTCCTTGTAAGATACTGATGAAGTTCATGCTTAAAGAAAATGGGAGTAGTAAGTCCTGTCCCTTTCATCACTAGACTGTATGTCGTCTGGTCTCTGTTACTTCCACTTTACACTGCTGCAGGAAATCTGATTGGAGATATTGTCCTCACAACTCACAAGAACAGCTGTTTGAAAAATGAGTTTGGATATCAATAGTAGCTGCAAGCATGCTGTCTTCATGCTCATTCTGGTTTTCTTTCATGTTCACAGTAACAAGTTTGTTTTGCTTATGGAGTATTCCTTTGTTACAAAGAAAAAAAAAAGTCACAACCTGTTGAAAGACCTGCCTTGTTCCCAGCAACACTATTGCTCTCTTCCCGTAAGCATCCTCAGCCAAAAGCAAGTCTTCTGTCTTCTGCAATAGTGCTGACTCTCCATATATGTTCAACTCCCAGTTTAAATGTGTATCATCTCTTTTTCCCCAGCCTTTTACCCGGGGGAACAGCATTAATATTCAGCCGCCAACAAGCACACAGTTTTACTAAGCATTTGGAGGTAGAGTCTGCCCTGTATGCAAAACAAATCTGTCATATAGGCAACCACTATTATGAGCTAAATGGAAATCAGGTATTTAATCTAGTGGTCCAGGGTTTAGAATCCTAAATATCAAATAATCAGCTAAAGTATCTTATGCATACCCACAACTTTCCATTTTGCAAAGCTCACTTATAATTACCCCCAAAGCTGTCTGTTGGAAATAATAATAAACCCAAACTTCCAATATAACTTTCAAATTGAATTTTCAGTCTTTGACACTGTTTTTACCTGATTTGTGAAAACAATGCTTTCTTGATACTTAACAAAAGGACTGTCACAAAGAAAAGAATCATACCCATACACAATGTATGACTGGCCTTGTGCTTTTGGAAAAAAGGAGCAATACTCTTCCTTGCAGATGCTGGTGGCTACAGCATGTATGTTGCTCCTCATCAATGAGAAGGAGGATTGGCACTTAGAGAACCTATATCTAGTGACAAATAAGAACATAAACAATTGCAGCGGAATACTCTTTATCTTCTGAGAAAGGTCTATCTGCATTAGGTTCCTAGGAGTACCAAAGAACCCAGAGCTGCAAAACCTGAGCAAAAGGCAGACATTCTTTGAGACGTGAAACCAAAACCCATGGCCTGAGTTTAGCACCTCGTGTTGGCTCTCCCTAGCTGGGACTGGAGCATCAATAGTCCCAGCTGAGTGCCCCAACCTCCACAGGAGGTTTTTGCTTCTTTGCTATCAAAACCATTTGTTTTAAAAATAAGCACTGACTCACACTGCACCAATTGGTTGGTATAGCACTGTTGGGATGGATATGCTGAAAATTCACATTAGGCTACAAATAATCACTGTCCTTTAATATTAAAAATTCCATGGCCAAAAGGCTCTTTTCCTGAAAACAACTACCTAGGAGGTTTTCCTAACCTATACGAGTCAGCTGACATATGATTATTTTCATACTCCTATTCAACATATATATGCAGACAAAGTGTAAAGCAGAACTTGTCTTCAGTAGAAAACTATATATATTTACTTACTGTGCTTTCAAAAGCAATTCCTAAAAAAAAAAGCAGTGGTGAAGAGCCTAGAAATGCTATACTTTGCAATCAACTCTCTTTGGTACATACCATATTAAATATTCTGATCACTGTGGAATGTAAGCAAATACAATGTAAATTTAGTCGATTTCATTTGGGAGTCAAAAGGATTTGGTTAACATCAAATTCAGTGTGGTCACTAATCCCTCTTTACCTGTCCCTTTCTAACCAAGTAACATAAATATTTGAAATCCCAAAATGATGAAGTTCAGCATCTTAAGCCCTGTTAAATCTTATAAGCCAAAGTAAATTCCATTTCTCTGATTAAACAGAAAGTATTTACAAAAATCATAAATAGTGTGTGAGTTTTTCATACCACCTGACTGAGCACTTTTTACTTTGACATCATTCAGAATGATATTTCCACTGTGCATTTTTGTCCAAAATAAAAGAAAAGGCAATCCCACTTGAGGGTAAGGGAATGTAACATTTCAGGCATGAAATCTTGCAAGGTGCAAATAAAGCTGTGCTTTCCCCAGGGTCTCTCTGTACCACCTTTCCACCATGCTTTCCTCTCATTTCCTTCCTGATGACAATTGTTTCTGAAGTGAGGTTCTCCCTTCAAGTTGTTCAGTACAGTTGGTTTTAATCCTTTCCATTGATTCTAATATCTTTACATAGAAAAAAAGTCTAAGTAAAAAGAAACAATATAAAACCAACCTAAGTAGCATAATTACTGGGAAAATATCACTACACAGTGCATCAGTTTTGCTTGTATAAGAATTTTAGTCCTCATTCCCTTAGTGTTTCTCCACAGAAATTGAAATGCTTTATTATGAGAGCCCAACTAATTGATTTCTTCAAAAGACATGTGGTAAAAGGCCTTGTAAAAGTCACTGCTTACAGATAGCAACAACTGATTAGGACAGAGTCCTCGAGTGTTGCGAGAGGTTTATCTCACATTTGCCATTTCCGTGACTTCTCATTCCCTCTTCTGGAGGATTTCCTGCCCAGTTTTACTTCTCTGGAATCAAAAGGACTGAAGATAGCAGGCACAAAATGATGCCCTCTGTGCTGGCCACCATCAGACTCAGCATGTTTGAATAAACAGAGCTGGAGCATAGAGGTAAGTTAAACCAATGTACTTCACCTCAACTCAGTAATGAAGCAGACAATGGCAGGAAAACAGAGCCTCAGAGCCCACCTCAAGTCTGGTAGGTCATCCATCATATTTTCTGATGCAATTAACCCTGCAGCTCTCCTCAAAATAACCATCTCTGATTAATGTACAAGAAGAAACATCACTATTTAAAAACAAAGACTGCTAAAGTATTTATTCATTTTCTAAACAAGAACACAACTACTAGCTTGAAAAATCACAAAAAAGGAAAACAACTTCAAATGCAATAAAAGGAAGTGCAGCACTATTAGAGTACAGATCTCACTGCTGCTTTCTGATGTAGTTCTCAAGACCATGGAATCATACCTTTGCACAAGGAAACACAACAAAATCAAAATTGAGATCTTTGTCTCATGACTGTCACTATCCTTTTGTGTGCAACAGCAGGCTGAACAAGCTATTTCAAGATTTAGATCAAAACTCCATATTACTGCTATACAAGTTTCTTCCAAAATAGCAATATGAAAGTGAAGTAAGTTCAAAGATAAGGCTGTTATTTTGTTTTGTGAGTAATAAAAAAATATAAATGATAAAAACATCATAGAAAAGGAATATACACCCTTGTAAAACAAAGGTACACTGCCACAGTATAGCATAGTATTACTGCTATTTTTAACACAGCAACTCAAGCTTGCATAGCAAATGACTACTTTACAGATACTAGTCTTTCATTTTAATAAGCATTAAAGATCACAGGAGACAGCCAAGAGGTATGTAGTATCCTTTCCACCAATGTGCCTGTGCCATGTAAATTGCATTCACTATGAGCAGAAAGAAATTTAAATCATTGTATATGCAGTCCCAGAAGCCACTGCCCAAATTAATCCTGACCTAGCAAAAGAGCCAAACGCATGCTGAACTTTGGGTAAATATTCCCAGCTATCTGTCTAAGTACAGTGCCACACACTTTTCAGGACAGATGATGTAGAGCCTGTCTCCAATGGCATTAATGAAAAAAAACATCTTCATGTGTCAGAAGCAACCCATATTTCATCAGCCTTGTGCAAAATGACAAGATAAACTGATTACTTCTAACTTTGTGCTGCAGGAGCTACAGTTTGCGTTTACAGGAAGCCAGCCACTTTGCAATAAAGACAGAAAAGTTACCTTTTATTTATGGCAAAGACAGAGCCTACACACCAGGAGTTACTGCAGTTAGCTGACTGAGCTCATGGGTTTGCTTGTGCCACTGTAGCTTGCGTGTTTTGTCCACCCTGCCTTAAGGTATTAACAGCCTTGCTATTCAGAAGTTTTGGGATTTTGTTTGTTTGTTTGTTTGTTTAGGGTTTTTTAGCCACCTAGATTTGTAATGCAAAACAAAGGTGAATTAGGAAAAGAAAGAAAAGGATAATGTTACCTGAAGGCCCTCTATGGCTAATCTAAGCATGCTTGGTGTGAGCTTGGAAGCCTGCTTGAAGGTGAAGTTGCTCCAGTCTATAATCAAAACAAATCCATTCACTTGAAGCTCAGGGTCTTCTATCATGGCTTCTAAAGAAAGAAGTATGGCGCGCAAAATATCCACCAGTGTGTACCTGTGAAAGTTAAAGGGAGATTCAGTTAGGAAAGGAGCAACAATCTCAGACATGGAGAAGTTGTGAGCATTCTTCTTTGTACTGCTTGTCAAAAATTTAAACCAAAGGATTGCAAATATATCCTCAGAGGTCATGGGTATGCAAAGCTGGGAAAGTCTCAAAATTCAGTTAGTTGAACTCATCCTCTGGAGGAGATTATGTACATCTAGACTATAAACCAGGCAGAACAAACTACAAGAATACAACAAACCAAAACCAAATTTGAACTTCCACGTAGTCCCCTAATCTGCTTTAATATCTATGCATTTTCTTATGTGTCTGTACAAAGATGTCTATCCAAATTGTATTTTCCTAAAATCATAATGATACCAAAACCTGAGTCTAATATTAGAAGTCTAGATGCAAAAGTTTCCTCCTGTATTTTTCCAAGAGATTGAAATAACAGCTTCTGCAAAAGTATCAGGTAAAAATAGGATTTCTACACGATCCCCTTGTCCCTCTTTCTGCATAATGTTTTCTCTTAAATCTGCAAAGGGTATTACAGAAGGCTGATTTTTCATGGATCTTGAAAGCAGAAAGTAACAGACACAAGGACTTTGAGCTATTTCTGGTTAAGAGTAATAGCAACCTTTTAGGAGCTACTTAACTGTCTTTGTATATCTTCTTCTGAGTACTTTGTATACTCAAATTATGTTATTCCAGGATTAAGTTTGGAATGTGGTATTCATCGCTCTAAGAATTTTCTACTTTAGATTTGGGGTTAGAAAGATGCCACCTTCATTATGTAATTATGTGTTTTACATATATGCACATAATCTTTTCTTAGATCAATGATCTTGTAAAAGGAGACATAATTCCATATTGCTAATCACTGCTGAGTATAGTCTTTCTTTTTCTGAAGCTAAAGCAACTAATACAGCAGCTGAATAGCTTAAATATTTACAGCAATGTCATCTTCAGACTGCCATATAATAGCTATTAATCAACTTGCAGTTTAGCTTATTGGGTTATTTAAAAAAGAAATTTTTAAAAAAATTGGTTTTTTTAAAAAAGATATGAAAGTAGTAGTTTATGTTTTGAGTTTTTCCAGCTATGTTTTCTATCTAAAAACCTTTTTTTAAAAGTAAGATAAATAGTTACTGAAACAGATCTAAATTTGTCAGTCTGCACCACAGTATCAGACATGGAGTTAGAAGGATAACACAGAAAAATATCAGACAAAGAAATATTTCAGGAACAAAAGAAAGAGTTAAATTGTCAATGTTTGTGCAGATATTTTAAAACAAGGCCCTTTAAAAGTCTCCCATGATGGCATCAAACACAGAAGCTCTCAAAATTATGAGTCCCCAGAGAAATCTTCACCATACTACATGTGTAGCAAAGAGCATATGTGCCTATTTAGAAATTACATTAAAATATATTGACTTCTTCTTGCTTTAATATGAGTACACTATTCAGTTGTGTACATAACTATATTTTGAAAGTACCTGTGAAGGGAAATAACCCAAATGAAATTCATCCCCTTTAGCTGACTCCTCATAACATTGCTTCCTTTTTTTTTTCTTTAGCCAACTAAAATTAAGTGAAGTTCCCAACCATGCATTCCTAGGAACCAGACTAAAAAAGGTGGCTCTTAATGTCAGCCTAACACAAATGAACAAGAGAAAGTGTGTTTTCCCCACAAAACATTAGGAGAAGCATTGTTTTACATGATTCTTCTCTTCAGCTTGGAGACCCTTATTTTGTTTTGAATTTGGTTTAGTTGACTAGGATAAAAGTCTTCATATTCACTCCTCTCTTTTTCAATTTTCTGAGATTTTACTTTTTAACCTAAGGCTTTACTTTTCTGAGATCTAAGGTTTACAGGAAGTTTGATGTGCTCCATCTCTTTTGTTTAGGTTTTTTCAACTGGGACAGGAAACAGCACAAGAAAAATTCTTCTCTGTAATTTCCATATGGAAATTCTCAAAATGCTAAAATTCTCTATTCCTTTTGGCAGGAAAAAAAAAAAAGAAAAGAAAGAACATTTCTGTAAATACAATTTTGACCACAGGGGAAAAAAGGGCATGCCTTAAAGTCTATTTTTAAGGAACAAGTTTGCGTGTGTGTAATAGCATGGATGTGCAATAAGTGCTGGGCACCATGAAGACTATAGACTGGTCCTAAAAAGGTCTTAAGTTTGCCTAGCGTAGCTGCAGACCAGTCTACCTATCCATACTAGAGCATGGACAGTGCAGGGCATCTAATAAACAAGGTCACTAAAAATCCCCTGCACAACGTGCATTTTGTACAACTGCCAACACCGGAATTAAAACATACGCTTAGCCTGAGAAGAAGGCTTATAGTTGTGCTCAGAGTTGCAGCTAGGTTCAGAACATGGCCTAAGGCCTTCAAAACCCTGGCTACCTCCAGAAGGCAGTGGAAGTATCAGAATTTTTTTTATTGCTGTATGAAATTAGACAGAGATAAACCCTGTAGAAGGCTTTCCCAGGGGAAACATTGCACTCACAGTAGGTGAGACATTTGGAGAGCAGCTAATGCCTCATTCTGGGGAATATCCTCTACCAGAGCTCATATAGGAAACAGACATTAGAAACACTCAAATCCTAGAATTAGCCTCAATCCCACATGACATTTATGCTGCCCCATTCAGAGGATCTCATTCTTCAGAATAGCTCCACAAAGCAGAAGGCTGCTGCAAGCACCCTGCATCCAGTCCAGTCCAGTCCAGGAAGATGAGTCCCAAGTTCCTGATGCAGATCTCTAGTGTCCTCCTTATGGAGTTCAAGGAAACATCACATGCCTTGAATTAACAGCTCCCTAGTGGCACAAGGCTCCTAGAAATCTGGTGAATTACACATAAAGATCCTTTGCTTATGTGGCCATTCAGGTCTCTGAGACTGGCCATAAAGTGTTGGGGTTTTTTTAATTTTTTTTTCTTTATTACCTAAGTGATAAATATACAGGTGTATACAAGTAAACACAAATACACCCGATTATGTCCTGAATTCTTTCACATCAATGGGAAAACTGTCAGGCATCAGTGAGGCTAGGATTTCAGCCATCACTGAGAGTAGTCAACGATCGCAGGGCTAGGCCTCCACAAATCTATGGCGTATTCATCATCACTGTAACTCCTACTGCATGTTTGCTTAATGTTAGAAATATAGTTCCTAACAACAAAAACGATATTGTATGTTTACTCACTGAAAAAGACAAAAAGTTGTCTTCTCAATGAAAACAAGTTCTGAAGAACACAGTTCTAGCTAAAAGGAAGAATACTTTCTGCCAGAGGAAGGTATCTGAAGTACCCTTTTAGGTCTGAAAAAGGCACATCAGGATTGTACAGGGACAATTCACTAACAACAAAGTTTCTCAGCTCAAATACCCTTCCGGGCAATTAGCTGAAGATAGAAGCCTCATTCTGCAATGAAACTCATCTCTTGGTTTTGATACCTTACTTAAGTACAGTACAGAAAACCTGACAAGAAAGACAAATCAATTAGTGGATATTTACAGCAGCTTTTACTCTGGACATATGCTGAGGCAAGCCAGAAATGTAAACCTGGTGTGATAGATGAAATCTTAGGTGGTGCAAATGGCAAGGTCAATACTGAACTTACCAGCTGAACAGCCCCAGCAAATGAAACATGATTAAAAAATTATACTGAAGCTTTCTCACAGCAAATAAAAACTCTCACTGAGTTATTTGCATAGACTCATCTTTAATTCACTCCTGCCCCAGTCCAACTTTTCAATGCTACTACTGTTCTTGTCAGCACCAGTGTGCACAGGCTCTGCCATAAAATACACTCCATCCCTGGCTGGACTTCAGGGAAATTAAAATCCTGCGTGAAAAGAAGGCAGGAAAAATTGTTGCTGAAACTTTTATTCCACACTGAAAATACCTTCTACATAGATACAAAAATGCAACCAATCAAACCAATCAAAAGTGAGAAAAACAGGATAAGCTGGTGAGTGTGAAATAAATTTGAACCAAGATGGCTTTGACTACCTTTCTACTTAAAAAAAAAAAAAAGAAAATTTAAAATCAACATGTTAACCTTTAATTTTAAGAAAGCATGGTGTTCATTCTAAGGGGAAGATGGTATTGTTTTATTCTTACCAATCTGTGTTAAATAATAGTGCAGTTTTAGGAGACAGCAAGCGGCTCGTTTTGCCCTGGCCCCAGTTTTACCATGACTGCTCCAGTGCTGTCAGGTACATAAGGTGTGCTGGGCCTGATTTGCTGCAGTGCATGTTCTGTAGTAACCTGGAGTTAGGCTGTGTAGAAATAAATCTTTATTTATTTATAGCTAAATTCAGTTGCGTTCACTGGTTTAAACAGACTATTATGGGACACACTGTAGCTAGCAAGGTATTACTATTTGCTAGGATAATCAAGTACTCATGGTTAATTTAAATGTATTTAATGCCTCTATTTATAGGACCATGCTTAATTCAATGGAAAGCTTAGACAACTTTTTTAGCCTAGTTGTTAATGTGAATAACAAATGCTGGAAATATGTTAACACATATATAATGCACTCTTAACGTTCCTTTTCTATATGAGTCCAAATTTGAGTTCAAATGAAGTGGGGACTGGTGTGCAGACACACTGCTACCTCTTGAAAGTATTCATTCAGGTTAACTTTAAAGCAATGAGCCAGAGAAGTTTTGACAACTTAGTAGCCACACTGACAGCAAGTCTTTCAAATGCTTTGGGATGGCTACCATTTCTACCATGACAGCAACAGAGCTTTCTAGGGTAACACCTCACTCAGGTCTTGATTTGTCAATAACAGAACAGCCCAAACAATGAACTGAGCATCCCATTTTCTTGTAACTAAACAGTGGCAGTAAACTTCCCTTTATAGAAAAGTTCTTTGAGAATTTTTTTATGAGACATGAACAGATTCAAAGTATTTCCAAGGATTTCTGGGAAAAACAGTCTGGCAGACACTACTATCAACTCTTGGTTGTAATCCACTATGATGTTTCACCTTTACCTCTTGGTTATGTGGTCTATGCATTCTCTTTACCCCCAGAGGCCACTGTGATTTCCACCAGGCCAAATGAAAAAGAAGAGACAGGCAGAAAGCTGTGTACAGATGTCTCATGTCAAATCTAGCTGTGTCAGCTGTCTTCAATATTTTATATTCTTGATGATGGGTGGCATCCACCGTATCAGCTGTTTAACCAGATTCTGGTTCCAGTCAATTCACTTCTGCACTAAGTAACAGATAATCTGATTTGGCATAGTTGTCCTATTATCTTTATTGCTCTTTGTCTTCTTCCCCCAATATCCAGATATTTCAAGTTATTTTGGTAATTAAAACGGAATGGCATGAGTCTGCCTCTCAGGATGCAAACTATTAACTAGAAGAGGTAAACGCCACATCTTTGCTTGAATTTAAACCAGATGAAGGTCTCCTGAAGGTCCCAAACATGCAAGGAATCCACAATCTGTATTTTAAGCTCATCACCATTTGGAAAAGTAAAGGTTTCTGTCAAATGAGCTCTTGTACCGCTGTGGTTTAGAAGAGAAAGTTGGTCCTGTCTCAGCCATCATCCCATTTCTAACCTTCTGCTCTAGCTTAGTACTTTTACAATTTCAGTGAAACCAGAGCCCTCAGGATAGACAAAGGAGCACCTAGAAATGATGCCTTAGATGCCTTAAATGCGTTGGTTTGTCAGTCTGGGTAAATATTTGAATGAAGAAAATATGGGGGATTGAAACTTCTCTTATTGCTGTTCTGCTTAAGTAGTGACAGCATGCCCCATGAGCCCTTTTTCTAAAAACAAAAAGCACCACCAGTGTTAGAAAAATGCATAGAAAAATAGAAACTGCTTCAAACAATTTACTAGATTAGCTTTTAGATTCAGATTTAGGACCATTCATTAATCCTTATGTTAGCCCACTGTCTAACAGTCACAGCTACAGATGAAGATTCAGCTATCTAAACTTTACATCAGCGTTATCAAAAAGATCCATAGTCAAAACACTCCCAATCTAAATACAAGTACTAAAAGATACCGGGGGAAAGCTAGAGAACAATAAGACAGCATCAGTCAGCAGGAGAAATTTTAGAAAACATGATAGTGTTTGCACTAGTTAATTATTATTATTTGAAAGATACTACTTCCAAACAAAAATCTGTTCTATTAACCTAGGTATTTTTGTTATTGTTAAGATGTTATTATTTTAGTATTGCTATTGCTTTACCAATATTGCCTCCATCAGAGCTTAAAAAATACCCTGCCAGCTCGCCTGTGGTTGATACTGAGCTGAGGAGCAGACCAGCCTCCCAGGAGCTGCAGAATTTACATTTTCATTTAATAAAAGGAAAAGAAAAGTTTCTGGCACTTCTGCACATGACAGCGTAGTTTCAAAAGGAAACAAGTAGACTCCATCTTTGCCCTGCTGTAAATCATCTGATGCAACAGCAGAGCTAACAGTAGTGATTGCAGTGGATTTCCACATTTACTGAGGATGGCGTGAGCTGACTGGGTCACTGTGACACAGACAGGAATTAGATATCACTACACTCTTCTACTGCACTTTTCTATTGCACTGTCTATGAAAAACTCTGAGATAATTAATGCTGGGAAGGATTTAAAATAAATAGCATCATTATGGACTGATTTTCTTAGGGAATTTGTGTACAGGTGCCACAAAGCATACAGAAGAACATGCATGACAACAGATCCCTTGCTGCAGAAAGCTGAAGTTAATTGTACCATCAACTGAAAAAAACTTCATCAGCTGGACACATTAAGAAAAGGGAGTTTTCAAATGCAAGTACGCACTTACAAGCCAAATGTAGTTATGAATCAACAATCTGGAAGCTGATAGGGATCCCTCCCTGTGTGCTATGCAGCCTCCTGACAGAAGCATCACCCGTTTTCATTTTCCCCATAGCAGACAGCATGGAGAGTTAGAGCAGTGTCCCACTGGAAGGCTGCTGGGCTACTCAATGCATTATCCTTCACCTTTCCTTTTTTTATTTATTTGTTTTAAATACATGCTTGATTTAGTTGTTCAGATGGTAGGACATCTGGTACAGTTTTCAGGCCCTGCTTTAATTTAATGATTTAACATCTAGTACACAGGCTTGTTTTATTGTAGGAATTTTCTGCCTCCCACGCTTTTCTTTCTAACTGAAACTATGTAAATTGTATCGCTCTAATGCGGTGCTATATAAATCATCTATAGTACGTCTGCTATTCATTTAAAACACAAATTGGAAGTTTTTATTTCTAATTGTTACATGCTGGCCATAATAAGCTGTACACATGTGATAAATTTGCAGGCTTGCTGTGCTCTGTTCACTTAGTTTATGAAGCATACAAAGGGGTCCTAAAAAGATAGAAAACAAAATTTAATCCTCCCAGTGTTGCTGTAAGAGGAGTACTAGTTTACGTACTGCAAGATCTCGAGACAGTTAAAGCATAAGCTTGAGACATATTGCATAGCAGCTCCAGCATACGTTCCATACACAACACTCCTCAGATTCAGTTGCTGAACATCAGATAATGGAAGCCACTAAATTAATTAGGAAAGAGAGTAATCTAGCTACATTCCCAGATCTGTCCCTGACTTGTCATGTGCCTTGGAGCAAGCCACTCCCCCCAGCTGGGCTTAGGCTCTCTCCCCTTTGTCTGAGTGGTCTATCTGAAAACAAACCCCTCGCTCTGGAGAGGCGTACTAGGGGCAGGCAGAGATAGAGAGCAATAGGGACCCAATTGCCAAGACAGCCATTAGGTAGCCCTGTGTACCCCAGCCACTTCTTTATTATATCATAAATAAGAATTTTACCAGTAGTACTTAATGAAAAAGATCATAATAGATTCAGTTGTGTCAGCTGATCTCATGTAGTTTAAAAATTAGCACATCCAAAATTAAGAAGAAAATAAATCTATTCTTTCCACATTACAATTTTTAAATGCTACTTTGTCTCTGAATTCGAGTTCTTGGTGCTCTTTTTGGCCAGGAACTAATGATCTCAAAAGTGTCACGTATGGCTTTGGGGTTTTTTTCATTAGTAAGAAATAACAATATAGAGTAGGCTACATTACCTTTTATAAGGGAACTTTTTCAGGGTAGATGCATTACTTAAAAGCCATAAACATCCATTTCTTTGCTAATTTTTCACTCAGGGATTTTTAAGAGTTTGCAGGGCTGTTTTTAAAAGTTGACCTAGTCCCTATGTGGGAAATATGGAAGGTCCTCATGCAGGAAATGAAGCCCACTCAAGAGTCCTTAACCTCATAACCACTGCCTCCTCACTCAGCTTCTTTCACTACATCTGCCAGAAAACTGAAGCAGGAAAAGGATGCTGGCCCCAGCTCTGCATATGTTCACCCTCACGTTCTAGTTGTTAGCTTGGCTGTGGGCAGTTTTGATTTGTGCCAGACAGTTTTCTCCCAGTCCCTGGGCATGATTCATGAGCTAGCAGGGGCATGGAAACTCTCCCTGTAGTCACTGTGGAGGTAGCTACCCTGTCTGGAGAGGAAGAAAGCCACGGTGGACCAGTGGCCCTCCAGGCAGAGACCCGTCCCTAGCTATAACACTGACTGCCGCAGAGAGCTGTGGGATCACTCCCTGCAATGGCTATCGACGCATCCTGCAAGATCCTTAAGTTTGCCAATCCCTCAGATTTTGTCCTTTCCATCCACACTGTCTGTACCACTTAATGTTTCAAAATTGCTGAGCTTGAGATATCTGCACCAAGCACTCAGCACTGCCAGTACCCCGCCTGCGCTGACTGCACAAAAGACAGTCTGGGCTTCATGTGAAGGTAACTAGTAAGATTTTAAGTTTTCTCACCAAGAAGTGCTTCAGATCCTAAACCTTCTCTCAGGCTGGGAGTCTAGGAAACAATGCAGTGCTCACAGGACTATGCTTTAGAGCTTGCTCTTAATGGATTCATTTATTTACATACACTGAAAATCAAGCTATTTTTGTAGATGTAATTTCAGACTGCAGGAGAAACTGGGCATGACACCCAATGAGGTATTTAGAATAACCAAATAGTGTCACATAGTATCAAGCCTATTGCTAAAAGAAAGGGTCTTGATGGGAGACAGCTCTTGAATAGGTCTGCTAAGTCGTCTTCAGGCTAAAGCAGTCCCAAAAAGGATCAGAAATTGTTCTAGGGACTGCACTAGCCTCCTTCAATTTGCTACCAAAGCTTTGCGTGCTTGGTTCTTACTGTGCAGAGAATTCACACTTCTAGCAGCATGACTGGGGTAAATAAAGACGTGGTTACTGTAACTTCCACCCTGGCATTTCCAAGTAGTTCAGGAAGAGCTTGCTTTAGCTGAGGGAAAGGATTTGGAGCCTCCACTTCCTGCACAGGCAAACTTTTCATCTCAAAAGCCAGGATGGATACTCCTATTTTGCATATAGCATCTCCCACGTTCTCCTATGGCACCTGAGCAACTCTGTGCACACAGAAGCAGAAAGACCACCACTGAAACCGCGACTAGTCTTCGTCAGGGGGTAAGCACATCACCTACCATGTCAGCCCGCTTTGACTATGGGGAAGCAGAAGGGTGTAAAATTCACATCAGCCAGCTGAGAAAAGCATCTGAGTGGTTCCTAATTTTCTCCCAAAACATACAGGATGGAAAGGCTGGAAAGGACCTAAGTCCCAGAACACATTTCCTTCTCTTCTCCCTCTGCCTTCCAGGCTGCTGCCCAGCCCCCTGTGGGCAGAGCCGGGTGTGTCCCTGCTGCCCACTCACCCTCTCTGCTCTGGCACAGATTTTCCCACGCATTGCCCAGAGAAAGAAGGAGTTAAGGCGGGTGGGTGGCTCTGCATTTACCTGCTCTGGTCCCAGTTGGCAGCAAAAAGGACGAGGATCTTTTCTCCCTGCCGTAGTGGTCCAGGTTGGCGAGCCCGCCGGGGAAGCCATCCTTCAGCGCCTGCTTGATGCCCGGGTCTGTGGCCTTGAAGCTCTTGAACATGTCCAGGTTCTGCTGGCGATACTCAAAGTACTGGGCCAGGAGGCGAAACGCCTCGAAGTGCTGAAACTTCCTGGCCCGTAGGAACCGCAGGATGAAGGCATCTGCGGTGCGGAGGAAGCCGATGTCCGGCCGGGTGATCACCATGTCCCGCACTTCCTGGATGTCCTGGTGCAAGGTGTCGGGGTTCTCGTTCAGCTCCAGCCGGGCTTTCTCCAGCGTCTCCGGGGAGAGACCTGCCTGCAA